AGGGAGCCAACTCGGGCGGCTTGTGAGCGGGCCGGAGAGGGGTGTGAGTGTGGGGTGCAAGGCTCACCTGGTTCCATGGGTTGGCAGAGGGTGCGTGAGTAGGGCCTTTGTTGACACTCTCGAACCGCCCGATGCTGCCTGCTGGCGATGGAGGAGGATGAGTGTGGTCCGGTGTTGGTCCATCCGCGACTCTCCGTGCCCTCCTGGGACCCAGGGACAGAGAAAACCGCTCTCTCGTCGAGATTTTCCAGATTCTCCAGCCGGCCCTTCTCCAGGAGAGGGAGAGGTGCATTCACCATCCCCCAAAGAGCAGCTTCCTCCCTCTCTGGGTCGCCCGTCCAGGGGCCTCTTGCTCTTCCGCTCACCGCCAGGTATGATGGGGGCCTGGACGGGCTGGGCGGCCTGTCTATGCCCAGCTCCACGGCGCCGCATGCTTGAGGCTGCTGCGGATGCTGCGCGGGAGCGGGGGCGGACGCAGGGGGCTGCCCTTGGTGACGAGCAGGCTGGGGCGCTGCAGACGGGTGGAGGCAGCAGCTGCCTGCCGGGGCAGGATGTGACGAATCGCCTCAGTCTGCTTCCGTGCAGCCGAGAACGGCTGGGCAAATCTCTCGACCGCGTCGCCGAAGAGGCCGGTCTGGGAAACAGGGGCATTGAGGAACCGAACTTTGTCAGCGTCCCTCATATCGACCAGACACAGCCAAATATGGCGCTCCTGGACCACAAGTGTGGACATCGCACGACCCAGAGAACTCGTGGTGACCTTCGTCGCTCAGAGCACAAGGTCAGTAGCAGTTCGGAGCTCTATCAGAACTTCCGGATCGTGACCACCCTCGTGCAGGTCCTTCAGTGTCTTGGCCTGATGAACCTGCATTAACACCATAGCGTGTAAGGCGGAGGCAGCTTCTCCACAAGCCGTATAAACACCGCCGGTCAGACCAGACAAATGCCTACAGGCCTGGGAGGGGAGCGACGGGACACAACTGCATCGCTACCGACCGTTCCACCGGGGGGATCGCCGTATACCCCCTAACTGCACCCCCGTCAAGGGTGGAGGAACCAGCAGGTCGGTTTCTGGCAGTAAAAGGTGCTGTCCATGTCCTGCTGAGCTCCTCATGCACCTCCGGGAAGAAAGGCACCGAGGCGGGGCGCTGAGAACCAGCGCGAGCCACCCCGAGAAACAAATCGTCCAACCTCGATGGCCCGGGACGCGGTGGAAGTTTCCACTCGTGCCCTACCCTCTCGGCGGCCCGGGAAAGCATAGCCGACATCTCCGGCTCCGATTCAGGCCTTGCCACCATCCCGGAGGGTGGCAGCACAGCCGAATCTTCCTCTCCAGAGAGCTCTCCCTCCGATGCAGTGATCGACATCCGGTCGTCGGGAGGAGCACCGAAGGATACCGCTGGTACGCTCTTTGAAGAGGGCCCAGTGCATTCCTTTGGCGGCTCGACTGGTTGCGAAACGCTAGAGGAGTGATGGTACCCCGAGGGTTGGTTCCCTGAGGGGTTTGCCACCACTGTAACCATCAGACCGCCCGTGCTACTGCCCGAAGTAGTCCTCGCATGGCTGCCGCCAGGACGAACACTAGATCGCGGCAGAGGCAAAGGAGCTCCGCCCCCTGGAGGAAATGGAGCCTGGCCCGCAACTTCGAGATGTCATCTTCCCGCAATGGTGTAACCCTCAGACCGCCCGTGCTACTGCCCGAAGTAGTCCTCGCATGGCTGCCGCCAGGACGAACACTAGATCGCGGCAGAGGCAAAGGAGCTCCGCCCCCTGGAGGAAATGGAGCCTGGCCCGCAACTTCGAGATGTCATCTTCCCGCAATGGGAACATGACTCATCCACGAATGCCACCTCAGCGTGTTTAATGCCCAGACACATGAGGCAGCAATCGTGACCATCACCCGGCGCCAGGTAACGACCGCATCCAGAAACGCACGGGTGAAACGCCATCTTTAAAAAGATGATCCGTCATCTTTAGAAAGACGCACCCTTGTAAGCTCTTTTAGAGAAATAAGCTCTTTCAGGGAAATGCTATTTTAGGTGCTGAGAAGCACAGGGGAGATGGCCACTTGCAGCACAACAGGGGGTAGTGCAGCCTGAAGTGCGCAACCCACTCGACACAGGAATGACCACCGCTGAAGTGCCATCCGCCAACACAAAAAGCTCCCTAGAGCGCGTTGAACTCGTCACACAGGAAGCAGTTGATAGGAGCAGAATGATGTTGTCGCTCGGCTCCGAAGCGAAAAGCTGGTATGCATTGCACCGGCTGCCTTTTTATGCTCATGCTGTGATCAGCGGCAGCTGGATGCAATTATCGCATGCCAATGCGCAATGTTGCTCGTTTAATTTACACTCGAAGTGGATTGGTCTCTCTAAGCGAGATCCCAATTCGTCGGTCATGACATGACTCGTAGTGACCAACTGAATGGGAACCTATGTACTAAAATTTCAAGAAAGTTGGAAAATTTGTTTAATTTCTGAGTCAGTTTTTTTCTAATGGTTCCAAACACTGATTCAATAATTCACTTTCCTCATTACTTTTAAATATGCTTAAAATGCCTGTCAATTTACATACTTAAAGGTGTGTTTGATAAAGGTTGGAGCTAAACTGTGCAGAGCTGTGGCCCTTCAGGAATTGAGTTTGAGACCAATGATGTACAGTATATACAGGTGCATCTCAATAAATTAGAATGTCGTGGAAAAGTTCATTTATTTCAGTAATTCAACTCAAATTGTGAAACTCATGTATTAAATAAATTCAGTGCACACAGACTGAAGTAGTTTAAGTCTTTGGTTCTTTTAATTGTGATGATTTTGGCTCACATTTAACAAAAACCCACCAATTCACTATCTCAACAAATTAGAATACTTCATAAGACCAATAAAAAAAACATTTTTAGTGAATTGTTGGCCTTCTGGAAAGTATGTTCATTTACTGTACATGTACTCAATACTTGGTAGGGGCTCCTTTTGCTTTAATTACTGCCTCAATTCGGTGTGGACTTCAAGCAACTTGGGCTATGAGCTTCTCCACCCTTCCTCCAGACTCTAGGACCTTGGTTTCCAAATGAAATACAAAACTTGCTCTCATCTGAAAAGAGGACTTTGGACCACTGGGCAACAGTCCAGTTCTTCTTCTCCTTAGCCCAGGTAAGACGCCTCTGATGTTGTCTGTGGTTCAGGAGTGGCTTAACAAGAGGAATATGACAACTGTGATTGTCTTCTGGAACACGTCTGTGTGTGGTGTCTTCCCCATGATTGTGTAGCCTAGTGAACCAAACTGAGAGAAGGCATTTTGAAGGCTCGGGAAACCTTTGCAGGTGTTTTGAGTTGATTAGCTGATTGGCATGTCACCATATTCTAATTTGTTGAGGTTTTTGTTAAATGTGAGCCAAAATCATCACAATTAAAAGAACCAAAGACTTAAACTACTTCAGTCTGTGTGCACTGAATTTATTTAATACACGAGTTTCACAATTTGAGTTGAATTACTGACATAAATGAACTTTTCCACGACATTCTAATTTATTGAGATGCACCTGTATACATTAGTATATAAAACAGATAGTTGAAGTACTGTATATTTTAGAAAATACTCTTTCAGTTTTTTCTACACTAAAATGTTACATTTAATTCAATGTGTTACTTGCCTTTTTTGTAACTGAAATTCACAAGCAACTAGAATGCCAATGTTTTATGCACATTAGGTATATAAAGGTTATCTATAGGTACAGTTTTGGGTTTAAATTTTTTTTGGTTTCAGATAATTATTGGTTATATATGTGACCCTGGACCACAAAACCAGTCATAAGGGTAAATTTTTCAAAATTGAGATCTATACATCAGCTGAAAAAAATTAAGTTTTGATATCTTTACGGTAGGACATTTACAAAATATCTTCATGGAACATAATCCTTACTTAATATCCTAATGATTTTTGGTATAAAAGAAAAATCGATAATTTTGACACATACAATGTTGTTTTGGCTATTGCTAAAAAATATACCCAAGCGACTTAAGACACATATGTTAAAAGAACTTGTTGCAAGTGCAGATCATTTGCAGTTATGGAGAAGAAGAAAATAAAAAAAAACATACAACATACCACCAGCACAAAGACATTACAGAACCCAACCAGATAAAGCAAGTCTACAAACAGATTGATAGTAATCAGGTAATTCGGGTCCAGAACTCAAAAACATAAAGAACAGGCTAATGAAACGAAGATGGAGAACTTTAAAGGGCTACTGTCAACCACAGTCACATGACCCACCAAAACACACTTGCTAGCAATTATTTTTACCAGAATGTGTAGGATGGAGCTCCACCATCAGTTAGGCCTCCAGGGCTAAGATTGCGGGTTAGGGCTGTCTGTTTCAGGATTCAAAGTAAGCATTTTGTTTATAGAGAAGAACTCTTTACTACGAGAAAAGACAAAAGAAAGAAAGAAATTCTTACTTTGTTGCTTCTTCTGTGCCTCCTTCTCCATCTGCTTTGCCCTCTTCCTCCATCTTCTGCTCATCTGAGATCAGCTCCTGGTTCTTATGTCTGCGAATACACTTCACCACTACCATGGACAGAATGAGCAAAGCTAGAATTCCTCCCACAGATGCCCCGATGGCAACAGCAATGGTCGAATCTCTTGGTGGCGGCACTGGGCAGAGGAAGACAAAAATTGAGGAAAACAAAATAATAAATCAGAGTAGCATATTGCTTTAGCAAAAAAAAAAAAAACAATTCTGATTTTCAGGCAAACCAAACTAAGTCATACCTACAACAGATTAAGAACTATATACCTCAAATAAGTTATAGTGAATAGTGAAAAAAATAGTGAATTTAAGTTATCATGTGAGGCTCCTGTTTCCTTAAATGAAATTAGAGATGCAATGAAATCAATGAAAAAGGGGAAGTCGCCTGGCTCCGATGGCCTTACTTTAGAATTCTTCATACAGTTTTGGGAGTTTTTGGAACAACCTTTTTTCTTAATGCTTCAAGAATGTATAAAAAATGGAACAATGACTCCTACTATGAAACAAAGGGTGATATCTCTCATTCCCAAACCAGACAAAGATGTAACTGTAATTGATAATTGGCGCCCTATCACTCTTCTTAATTTTGATTATAAATTAATCGCTTCCATATTCGCCAAGAGATTAAAACAACATTTACATCATATCATTAATGAAACACAGACCGGATTTGCTTGGGTCAGATTCTGTGGTATTTCATTCCTAATAATATATTTATTAGGGTAGGTGGCTTTTCTTTTTTGATGAAATGCAATTACTCCACTGGTAAATTACGTATTAAACTGGCTAGATTTCATCAACAAGCTTTGTTAGCCTGGAAACTGGTTTACAACCACAACTTTTCCCCCCACAAAACCATCTTATGGAATAATTTGGATATTAAAATTAGAAATAGATCAGTCTTTTTTGATAAATGGTTTAATAAAAACATAATTTTTGTTGCTGGTCTATTTTGGCGATTTGTTATCTTATGAATGTTTTATGAATATCCATCAATTTCCCGTTCCGTTTAAAGAATTTAACAATGTTATAAACAGTGTTGGGGAAAGTTACTTTTAAAAGTAATGCATTACAATATTGCATTACTCCCTAAAAAGTAACTAATTAAGTTAGTTACTTTTAATGGAAAGTAATGCGTTACGTTACTTTTGAGTTTTAAATCAATATCAATAATACCCCCTTGTAATATTTAAAAATAGGCAGCGGCTATTTGCACTGTGTAAATAGCAATTATATGTTATTTACACCAAGTAAAAACAGCATATTTTCTTAACGATCAGTGCTGAATAGCAGAATTTTCTTAGTGTAACTTAGTGTAAATAGCATATCACTAAGAAAATACTGGTATTAGATTATATTTACACTAATAATACTGCTAATAGATTCTATTTACACTATGAAAAATGTATGATTTATTAATTTATGATTTATGAAAAATGATTAAATAGAGGTTGCCCTGTTGGGACAATAAAGCCCTACACCTAACCCTAACCCCTGATACTTAATCTGTAACTTTTCAATTACCGGTATTTCCTTATTTTTTATTGAAAATAAATGCCTTTCCAATGTGATATGTGATGTGAAAAGGGAGAAGAACGAGCGGATTCGAACTCGGATCAATCACGTCAAAAAGAATGCATAACGTGCTTTATCATCTTCGCCACTAGAGCTGTCGCGTGCCAGCCGTCTTTTGTAATATTATCTAGCGCAAACATACGTTGGTGGGCGGAGTTAGCCATTCCCAACAAGGCGGGCTATTTGCATTTAATGTAAATAGACATTCTGTTTAAGATATTTTACTTGTCTTGAAAAAGGTGGCTGCAAACAACTGGCTAAAGGGACTACAGATGTTTAGATTTTTACTTCTGGTGATTGTATTTAGGCTTCAAAATCTATAAACTTTGTATTCATTTGTAAAGATTATCATGATGAAAATAAATCACTTAAGAATAATAAACATTTTGTCTAGAAAATTTGGCTTTTTGTTGAGCGAACAACTTCAAAAATACATCATCAATGCAGCACTCTATTCTAATTCTGGACTTAACAACACCTGCAATAAGGAAACACCATTCATCATGGCCTCTCCTAAAATAACTTGGGTAGAGCTTCTTGGCTCATACTGAAGCCTTACATTCAGTCAGGACAAGGACCTGAATGGCGCCATGGCCCTGAATGCGGTCTGGAGGGTTGCGCACATAGCAGTTGTAGATGCCCTCGTCTGTCAACTGCACATCTAAGATAGTGATGCTCAGGTCGTTCTTATCCAGGTTTCCAGAAAATGTGACTCGATCTCCAAATCGGCTCGACTTCAAGGGTGTTATCTTGTTCTTATAGGTCATGAACTTGGAAAAGAAGACATTTTGGATGAAGGTAGATTGAGAAAGGTAAAGAAAAAATGGAATTGTGTAATTTTAAAGAACTGGTAATACAATGGTATTAGCATGTTTAGTCTTTGTTTTCTCTCACCATTTCTTCTGTGCTGTTGCTTGTATCCTGATAGGTCCAGTTCATGGCAAACTTGCTGGGGTCCAGCTTGTAGCATGAAGTGAACGCACAGGGGATTCTGACATCTGTCCCATTGAGAGCGAGGATCTGTGGTGGCACCAGCACATCCATGGAATTCACTGGACATGCTATGAGAGATGCAAATATACACGTCTATGACATCTGATTGGTGAGATACTTCTGTAAAGCGCATGTTTTAAATGCAGTGTGCATGAAAATGCCTTTTCAAGTAATTTAAAATGTCATTTTCAAAAGATAAACAAGATATTGTTTTAACTTTCAAAGTGGTTTGAGTAGTTATCTTATATAACTTCTAATGATGGATATATAATTATGTAATTAAAACACCTTTTAAAAGTTAATTTTAATTTAGAATGACTAAATTATTGGTCATTGGGATTGGATAAGCCTTGTTCAAATTGTTAGGGGGTTGGTAAGATTGTATTTATGAAAGAAGTCTCTTATGCTCATCAAAAACAGCATTTATTTGATTAAAAATACAGTAAAACAATTATTTACTATTTGGATTTTTTTTATGTAATTTATTGCAGTGAATTGAAAATCTGAATTTTCAGCATCAGTACTCAAATGTTACTTGATACTTCAGAAATTATTTTAATTAGCAAATTTAGTGCTTAAGTATTATTATTATTATTAATATTATTATTATTATTATTATTATTATAATTTTAATTTAGAATGACTACATTATTGGTCATTGGGATTGGATAAGCCTTGTTCAAATTGTTAGGGGGTTGGTAAGATTTTATTTATGAAAGAAGTCTCTTATGCTCATCAAAAACAGCATTTATTTGATTAAAAATACAGTAAAACAATTATTTACTATTTGGATTTTTTTTATGTAATTATATATATCGACCCTAAACTTTTAAACAGTGGTGCAATATAACATTTTTATATAATTAAAACAAATAAATACAAAATATATTAAATGTTTTTTTTTTTCATATTTTTAAATTATTACAGACCAATAATCTGAAATGTATGCTTTCACTTAAACATTAAACATTTGGTATCAAAGTCTCAGACTTTTAAAATAAATTAATTAAATTTTAAATATTTGAATATGTATTACAATATTAATGTCATTCTACTTTAAGCAATGTGTTTACAATGCCTTATATAAACCATATTTTTCCAGTGTTGCCAAATTCAATGTAAATAAATGACTTCTTAATCGGTATCTGTATTAAGCATGCACTATAAGTTGCATTGCTATTACTATGATCTATGCTACTACTATATCACTATGATTGCCAAAAAATGTTATCCTATTGTCTAAAGGTTTATTTTCTCCACCTCTGCACCATTTCATCCCTCTGCAGTCAGGAGTTTTGTGTTTCTGGACAAGTTCCCACTGCTGCAGCAGTTATGCTTTATTGGCCCGGCTCTCTGCAGTAGGAGCAGCAACTTCATCACACCCTCCCATCCCATTCCATCCCCACCCCCTCAAAGTGCTGCAGTTTAGTCCATCCCCCTCCCTTTAGAAAAAATCAGGTGTCCTCATGGATAGAGAGCAAGAACTACAGCAGCTGTGTTCAGAGAAAACACGCATACACACACGAACCTCACGCATATGTGAATAGGTTCAGTAACTATTATGATTTATAGTGCGTTAAATCCAGAGTGCTAACAAGGCAACATTTGAACTATACAGATATACAACAATATATTATATACATAGCATTTTTTTGTGCTACAAATGATGCAGTACTGCATCATGTCACTGTATCCTACATAGGCTCTCAGTGTGGGCTGAAATACACACACACGTTCAGCATAAATATACACACACACACATGCAGAGTCAGCACTCGGCCAGGCGTGTTACTCAATAGTGGCACTACGTCAATGTCGTCTCCACCCACCCTTTTACCTTCATGTATATTTAGTCCGTTTCTCTCTGCGGTCTGTACCACAGCAGAGACGCTTTAAAACTCCATATACACCATGCACATTTAATCACAGCATCCATGCATTTCTTTCAAAAGAATCAGGAAATAATAGCCATATTGTTGTAGTTTGAAAGCTACAGTGAATCTTGAGTATCTGTACACTCTTGTTTGTGAATGTTTGGGTTTATATAAGGGGTCTGACTAACATTGACATCTCTAGCCCACTCTTGGGGTACCTATTTGATGGTTATATACAAATATTCACCGGTTCAGAGAGCTGTAGGCAAAAAATACTGCAGTGTAGCTCTCTCTCACACAACAGTCCCTGACAAACCACATCCCTACACCCTCCCTGCGCTGTCTGTGTCCTCTTTTTTTCTGCTCTCAAGGTTATTTTAAAAGGAGAAATGTGGACAAGATACATTGCGGAGCTGGATATGCATGCAAAACATAATACAGACACACACACACAGACACACAGAGACACACACACACACACAAATACATACATACAGGACATACAGTGCTGGGTAGATTACTTACAAATTGTAATCCTTTCCTGTTTCAAAAATACATAACGGAAATGATCAGTAATCTATTAGATTACACATTTAATCTGATTACTTTTAGATTTCTTTTGATCTAACTTCTTTTTGGTTCCCTTTCAGTCGGTCACTCCGAGTCACGTTGGTGACCGACGAATTGGGATCTCGCTTAGAGAGACCCATCCAGTTTGAGTGTAAACTAAACGAGCCTATGCACATTGGCATGCGATGATTGCATCCAGCTGCTGCTGATCACAGCATGAGCATAAAAAGGCAGCCTGTGCAACGCATACCAGCTTTTCGCTTCGGAGCCGAGCGACAACATCGTTCTGCTCCTACCAAACTGCTTCGTGTGTGACGAGTCTAGCGCGCTCTCGGGAGCTTTTTGTGTTGGCGGACCACGCTTCAGCGGTGGTCGTTCCTGTGTCGAGTGGGTTGCGCACTTCAGGCTACACTACCCCCTGTTGTGCTGCAAACGGCCGTTTCCCCTGTGTGTCTCAGCACGTAAAAGAACGTTTCACCCGTGCGTTTCTGGATGCGGTCGTTACCTGGCGCCGGGTGATGGTCACGATCGCTGCCTCATGTGTCTGGGCATTAAACATGCTGAGGTGGTGTTTGCGGATGAGTCATGTTCCCATTGTGGGAAGATGACCATCTCGGAGCTGCGGGCCAGGCTCCTTTTCCTCCAGGGGGGCGGAGCTCCATTGCCTCTGCCGTGATCTAGTGTTCGTTCTGGCGGCAGCTAGGCGTGGACTACTTCGGGCAGTAGCACGGGTGGTCTGAGGGTTACAGTAGTGGCAAAACCCTCAGGGAACCAACCCTCGGGGGACCATCGCTCCACTAGCGCTTCGCAACCAGTTGAGCCGCCAAAGGAACGCGCCAAAGGAAACGGTATCCTACGGTGCTCCTCCCGACGACCGGATGTCGATCACTGCATCGGTGATTGTTTTCTCGGGGTGGCTCGCGCTGGTTTTCAGCGCCCCGCCTCAGTGCCTTTCTTCCCGGAGGTGCACGAGGAGCTCACCAGGTCATGGACGGCACCTTTTACAACCGGAAACTGACCTGTTGGTTCATCCTCCCTCACCACCCTCGACGGTGGTGCAGCTAGGGGGTATACAAGGGTACACCCGGTGGAGCGGTCGGTTGCGATGCAATTGTGTCCTAACACCGCCTCCACCCGGCAGGGCGACCGTGCCTCCCCTCCCGGGTCTGTAGGCACTCGTCTGGCCTGTCCGGCGATGCTTATACGGCCTGTGTAGAAGCTGCCTCCGCCTTACACGCTACGGCATTACTGCAGGTTCATCAGGCCAAGGCACTGAGCGACCTGCACGAGGGGGGTCATGATCCGGAAGTTCTGAAAGAGCTCCGAACCACTACTGACCTCGCGCTCCGAGCGACGAAGGTCACCGCGAGTTCTCGGGGTCGTGAGATGTCCACACTTGTGGTCCAGGAGCGCCATCTCTGGTTGTGTCTGGTTGATATGAGGGACACCGACAAAGTTCCGTTCCTTAATGCCCCTGTGTCCCAGACTGGCCTCTTTGCGACGTGGTCGAGAGCTTGGCCCAGCAGCTCTCGGCTGCACAGAAGCAAACTGAGGCGGGTTGTCACACCCTGCCCCGGCGGGCAGCTGCTGCCTCCACCCATCCGCCGGCCGCAACACCCCAGCCTGCTCGTTGCCGAGGGCGGCCCCCTGCATCCGCCCCTGCTCCCGCGTCGCATCCGCAGCAGCCTCCAGCAAGCAGTGCCATGGAGCTGGGCAAAGGCAGGCCACCCCACCGTCCAGGCCCCCGTCAAACCTGGCGGTGAGTGAAAGAGCAAGAGGCCCCGGGACATGTGACCCAGAGAAGGAGGAAGCTGCTCTTTGGGGGATGGTAAAGGCACCTCTCCCTCCCCCAGAGGAGGGCCGGGTGGAGAATCTGGAAAATCTCAACAAGAGAGCAGTTTTCTCTGTTCCTGGGTCCCAGGAGGGCAGGGAGAGTCGCGGACGGACCAGCACCGGACAACACTCATCCTCCTCCATCGCCAGCAGGCAGCAGCGGGCGGTTAGAGAGCGTCAACAAAGACCCTACTCACGCACCCTTTGCCAAACTGTGGAACCAGGTAAGCATTGCACCGCACACTCGGACCCCTCTTCGGTCCGCTCACAAGCCACCCGAGTTGGGTCCCTGCGTTCCACCTTGTTGCCCCACTGTGGGTACGGCGGTGGTTCCGCTGGTCCTGCTTGCACAGTATCTGGATGCCTGGCTAGCGCTACCCAACCCGTCTCGTTGGCTTCTGTGGACCATCAGCCTCGGCTATGTGATTCAGTTCGCCCGGCATCCCCCCAAGTTCAGTGGCATCCTAGATGACCTACCCCAAGAGGTAGTTGACACCATCACTTCGGCGAAAGCACCGTCTACGAGACACGCTTACTCCTTGAAGTGGAACCTGTTCGTCGAGTGGTGTTCTTCTCATCGGGAAGACCCCCGGAGATGCCCCGATCGGGGTCGTGCTTTCCTTTTTGCAGCAAGGGCTTCCACCCTTAAAGTCTGTGTCGCTGCGATTGCTGCTAACCATGACCCCATGGAAGGGAAGTCGGTAGGGAAGCATGACCTGGTCATCAGGGTCCTTAGGGGGGCGAGAAGCTTAAATCCTCCCCGGTCCCCCTCCACGCCCTCTTGGGACCTG